GCCGCGTCCTAGCCGCCAGCCCCGGCCTGACCGCCCGCTAACCCAGGAAGACAGATGCTAGGACAGACACCAGGGCTGCGTGCTGGGGTGTGGGGCTGACGATGGAGGAGGGCTCGGCAGGGATAGGTCCGGGGTTGGGGGGGGGGCGGGTGGTACCCGAGCCAAGGATAAGGACTGAACCAGAGGATCAGGGTCCTGTCCCTCTGGACGCCAGCCCATGAGTTGTGGGCCCCCTTCTAAGTGTCCATAGCCTCTGCCTCTGTGTCACTGTGGGGCTGTGGCTGCAGGCCTCCCCAGGAGCCATGTGAGCCTGCAGGCTATGGGTGTGGGTGTGTGTGTGTGCAAGCACAACTATGTCGAACTTGCACACGCGATCCTAGCACTAGTTCCACAGCATAGACGGTGACCTCGCCTAAAACACACCTCTGTCAGGGCACCTTGCCCCTCTTCCCCCAGAGGTCACCTCCCCAAGGGCTGTAACCTGGCCTTGGTGTAACACTGGATCCATTTCACAAATGAGAAACTGATGCCATGGAGCCAAAATGACTGTTCCCTGTCTTCCCTCCACCACCCGGGAATTGTGAAGCTGACCAAAGAGGACTCAGGCTGAGCAGGCGCAGGGACACCCGTCGCTGCCACGCTCCAAAGCTGGGGCCCTTTGCTGCGAGCCTCCAAAGGGGGCCAACCCATAATTCCAGAGTTATGACCTGCTTTAAGCCTCCAAGCATGGCCCTGAAGAACTCCTGGCAATTCAAAATAAAAAAACTAACCAACCAATCAATCAAGCTATACATCCCCAAAGGCTTGCCATCTCTAAGGAGAGATCAGAAGGCCGGCCCTTGGCTCTCAAGGGGCTGGTGAGATTATCCCCGGGACAACCCTTTGGAAGGTGGTCTGATCTGGTGGTTCTGAAAGAGCCACGAGTTGACCTGGGAATCCCCACTCCGGGAATCTGTGGTAAGGAGCATTCAGGTACTTGTCCACAGGGTGAGCCAGTGTGGAAGTATTTCAACAGAGAAGGTAACAGAACAATCCAAATGGCGTCAGCAGATGAGTAGCTTAGTAAGGACGAAGGAGCCAGCCCACTTGACACCACCCCAAGCACAGGCGTCCGGGGGCCTGGTCAAGTGGCAACACACACGTGCCAGACGCCAAGTGAAATGAGATCACGCAATACCTCACACAATTGCTAGAGAACTGGCTGAACTGCATTACGGATAGTGGCTTTGATAGCAGTATTGTCTCAATGCTAAATTTGCTGAATTTGGTAACTCTGCCGTGGTCGAGTAGGAGAAGGTTCTTATTCTCAACAGCTGAAATATTAAAGAAGCACAATGTCTGCAATTTACTTTCATTGGAAAAAAAATGTACACATGCTGAGAGCTCCGGATAAAGCAAATGCAGCTAAACAGTTGCAGGGGGTGAATCTGCTGTGGTCACCAACAATCCCCGTCTCCTCGCATTCAGTCTCCTCCCACATTGTACCAGGGCTGGTCTAAGAAGTGATCACATGTCACTTCCAAGATTAGGTTGTAAAGAAGACTGCGGCATACATTAACTATATTTCAATTAAAAAAACAACAACACTGTGGCTTTTATCCTGGGCACTCTTTCCCTCTCTGCTGTTTGATCTTGCACTTGGGGGAAGCTAACAAAGGGGGCACGTTCTGAGCTGTTGTGTGGAGAAGCTTTGGCCTCAGTTCCTCCCTATGTAGGTCCCCCTTCTTGCCAACAGCTGCACGAGGGCACCATCTTGGAAGCAGATTCTCCAGCCCAGTCAAGCCTTCAGATGACTGCAGCCCTGTTTGATACCTTGACTATAATCTCATTAAGAGATCACGAGCCACAACTCTCCAGTGAAGCTGCTTCCAGACTCCTGATTCTGAGAAACCGTGTGAGATAAATTAGTGTTTGTGGTTTCAAGCTACTAAGTTTGGGGGCGGGGAGGGTGGTCATTTGTTACACAGCAATAGATAACTAATACATCTGGTTAGAGAGTAAAGAACTCCCATAAGCATTATGCCCACGTACTAGACTTACAACTTTGCTACAAGTTTGAAATGATTTAAAAATGAAAAGTTTAAAAATAAAAAAGTTTTAAAAAAACAAAGCTTTTAAAAAAAAAGTTTTAAAATTAAAAAAAACAAAACAAAAAACCTCCTTCCTCATTAAAAATACAGAGACAAATACTCACCCACTCCCCCTAAACCAAGTCAAAAAACCAAATGACATAACTGGGGGGAAATAGTTGCAATTCATAGCACAGACAAAGCGCATCTCTCTCATATATAAAGAGTCTCTAGAAATCACTAATAACAACAACCAGTGACAAAAGGGGGACAAAGGATGTGATCACACAGAGCACAGAAAAGGCATCACACAAGGCTTCACTATTTCAAGAGATGCTCAACCTCACCTGTAATAAATGCAAATCAAAAGCATTCTATGGAATGATTTCAGGCATCATATTAGGAATAAGCCATATGTCTCATAGACACTCATAAGTTGCCCTCAGGGGTCTAAACTGGCAAAATTTGCTACAACCTCAGAGGACAGCAATTCAGCAGCAGCTGTGCCAATTATAAGTACACTGATTTTACCCAGCAAATAGGCTTCCAGAAAGTGACCAAAGAGATACACCTGCATGAGTGTGAAATGACACACAGACAACTTATTTACTGCAGCTCTGCGTGGAGGACCAGAGCCCGAGTGGGGTCTAACCATCAGAACAGTGTTTCCCAGGATGAATGATAGTCCACTCCTATCTGCAGAGGAATAATTCTCCACCATAACAAAGGACCCAAGAAACTCCCCACATGCTGCTCAGTGAGTGGATAATGTGCTCCCTGCTGGGTAGAGAGAAACGGGGAGAGAAATGTAAGCTTGTATTTGCTCAAGGCTGTATATGCACAAAGAGCTGGAAGGATATACAAAAAGTAAGCGCTGAGGTTATGGGGAGGGGTCGGAGCTGCGGACGCAGGCATGGGGCGGGATGCTTTCCCCCATACTTCAAAAATGCCTTTTTTCTTTCTTTTAAATGTAGGTACTGGGGATTGAACCCAGGCCCTCGTGCATGCTAAGTATGCACTCTACCACCGAGCTATTCCCACCCCGCTAAAAAGGCTTTTTCATGATTGAATCATGTGAATTTAACACCTATGGTCAAAAAGGACAAATATTTTCAATGGATGGGAAGAAAGAAAGCAAGCCTAAAAGGAAACTTCATTCCAAAAATGTTACCAGCGGCTCCTGCACAGTGGTGTTAGGGGATATTTGTTTTTCTTCTTGGTTCTTTTCAGTGTTTACTAAATTTTCTAAATAAGCATAAAATTATTTTTATAATCACTTTTTTAAAAACTCTCACCTGAGTGGACTGTTTACCGAGAGATTCCAACTGCCTCTGGGGAGACGGCCAGACAGTTGATTCGTACAGAATTAGAGGAGGTGGCGAGCATTTTCCCGCCTGGCCGGAGTGAGCTGGTGGCTGACCCGGGCTGATGAAGCTGTTAGAGGAAGCCTTCACTGGCACAAACCTCATGGGGGAGCAACCAGACTGGTGTTTTCCATGACATGTTTGGAATGTAACACTGAATCCTCTGTATCCCGCAGGGATTGGTTCTAGGACCCCCGTCGGGTACCAAATCTAAGGATGCTCAAGTCCCTTGTATAAATGGAGCAGTATTTACGTATAATCTACACATATCCTCCCATATATTTTAAATCACCTCGGGGAGAGTGCAGCTCAGTAGTAGAGCACATGCTTACCATGCACAAGGTCCTGGGTTCAATCCCCAGTACCTCCATTAAAATAATAATAATAAACAAACAAACAAACAAACAAACCTAATTATCTTCTCCCTCCAAAAAACAAAACAACAATTTTTTAAAAATCACCTCTGGATGACTTATGAGACCTAAGGCAATGTAAATGCTATGTAGAGTTGCCTGCACGTGGCGAATTCAAGTTTTGCATGTTGGAACTTTCTGGAAGATTTTCCCTGAATCTGCAGTTGGTTGAATCCATGGATGCAGAACCCGAGGATATGGAGGGCTGACTGGATACCCTCTGAACCTGCGATTCTATTTCTAGAAATTTCCCCTACACGTATTTTCACACATGTGTGCAAAGCCAGATCCAAGAATATTTATCGAAGTGTTGTTTATTATCAAGTCCACAGGAAACCATGGACTAGGGACCTGAAAAAATGAGGCCTTGCATGTTCATGTGATGAAATGAAATATACCAACAGAGCTGGCAAACCGTGGCCCAGAACCCAAATCTGGCCGGCTGCCTGCTTGGCCAACCAGTATGTATGGCCCACAAGCTAAGAATAGTTTTCACGTTTTTAAACGGGCGAATAAAAGTCAAAAGAAGAAGAATATTTTGTGGCTTGTGATTCTGATATGAAATTCAAATTTCAGTGTCCATAAATAAAGTTTTGTTGGGACACGCCCATGCTTGCTGGTTTATGTAGGGTCTAGAGCAGCTCTGAGGCTGTGACAACAGAGTCCTGCAAAGCCTAAAAGGTTCATGGCTTTCAGGGAACATTTGCCTGGCTTCCTTCACTTTGCAACTTTGCGGGACTTTCAGCGTGCCTGGCCCTGTTCAAGCACTTTACATACGTTAATGTTAACAACTCTATGAAGGAGATGCCATTATCATTTTACAGGTCAGGAAATTGAGGCACAGACAGGTTAGTGACTTGACGAAGGTCACAGAGCCTTTAAGGGGCAGAGTGGGATTCCAGAAGACCTGTTTGCTAACTACCCCTCCAACAACAGTTCTCCCAGATAGCAGTTTTTCAGCCACACCTAGTGTCGAGCAGGAACGGCCCTCCCTTTGTTTTTGCTGCGGGGTACTGAGCACCAGGGGGGTGCTTGTGGGTGTGGCTGAGTTCCTTCCTCCATTCATTTATTCCAGTAAGGCTCGGGCACTATTCTGGGCGCTAGGGATCCAGCAGGGCCACAACACACCAAGCTCTCTGCCCTCAGTGAGTTTCTGTTACAGTGAAGAGTATATGTTATAGAGAGGAGCTGGCGTTCTAGAGAGTCAACAGGGAAGATGTGCAGCCCAGTCAGAGGGCGGTAAGTGCTACAGAGAAGTAAACAGACGGGAAGGGCCGACTGGTGACCAACTTGTCCTGATTTGCCTGGGACTGTCTCAGTTTTAAAACTGAAAGTTCCGGGGGAGGGTATAGCTCGGTGGTAGAGTGCCTGCCTAGTGAGCACGAGGTCCTGGGTTCAATCCTCAGCACCTCCATTAAAAACATAAATAAACCTAATTACATCCCACCACAAAACAAGAACAAACATAAAAACAAAAACAAAAACTGTTCCATTTCCCAAGAACCTCCTTGGTACTAGGTAAACTGGGCTGGTTGGTCACCCGACAAGCTAGTCTAGACATGGACCTGGCACACAGCCGGGGCTCAGCACGTATCTGCAGGGTGTACAGCACTGGAGTGCCAGAGGACAGGCGTGCTCTGGCCTGGCTCTCAACCACAGGGCTCGGAAGTGGGGAAGGCCCTTGCTGGAGGGACCCAGGCCTGCCAACCACTCTAGAAATAGTGCTTCCAGCTTGAGTCTCTCACAGGCCAAGTGGCCCCTCGCCCCTTCCTTCCTTCTGCCTGCTTTTTCTCCCTGTGTAGAGATGACTTGGGGACATCCTGGCCCTACATCCTTCTGGGCTCTACCCCATAAGCACAAAAACTGAAATAATAATAATAATAACAACAACAACAACAATAGCAGCCAACATTTATGGAGTGCTTACTCTGCGCAAAGCATACATTAACTCGTTAACTCGTCCTAACAGATCTATAAAGAAACTGTCATTCCTATTTTCCAGATGAGGAAATCAAGGCTCAGCAGTTACAGGGACTTGCTCAGGGTTAGCACAAGGTCTGGCATATACTCAGTGCCTTTGCTTCCCTAAACTTCTGTTGATAGAATGAAGAAACTGGCTGCTGCAAGTCACATGGTAAGGAGCAGAACCTGAGAGTGAAATCACAACCATTTAAGGCCAAAGCCCAGCTGACTTCTGCTGGACCTCGCTGTTATTCCCTCCTCTTCCTGCCTATCCTAATCTACCTACCCACTGGTCCCTTTTGAAGGAGGACCACATCCATCCTTCCAGAAGAAAAGGTGGACCGCCCTAACCTTGTATGCTTATGTGCTAATGACTCACATGAGATGAAGACTAATTAATATGTAAAGAGTTTCAACAAATCAACAAGAAAATGACCAGCACAAATTTGAAAATGGTCAAGGGTGTGAACAATTCCACAGAAGAGAAAATAGCTTTAAATCTACAAAAACTTGCCCAGCCTCATTCACAGTGAAAGAAATGTAAATTAAAACAAAACAAGATACTATTTTTTACCAACCACACTGGCTGAGTTCAATATTGCTGAGGGTGGGGGCAAACAGGCACAAGTCATGTATTGCTGATAATCTGTTAAACCAATTTATACTCGATAGAGAGCAATTTGGCAGTATCTGTCAAAACTCCAAATGCATATGCTCTCAGACCCAGCAATTTCCTTGTTAAGAACTTATCCTACAAAGTGACATATGTACACAGTTGTTCTTTACAGCCTTGCTCATAGTAGCTAGAGACCAAAAAGTGACCTAAATTCCCAACAACTGGTTAGATAAATAATAGTACCTCCACACAGTGGAATGCTATGCAATTGTATAAAATGAAGTACAGTCTCTGAGATGAATTTTTAAATGATAAAAGGTGCAGAATGCATGCAGAGTATGCTATCATTTTCTTAAAAATGGAAGGGAAAGAATCCAGGTGTCATCTTGCTTGTCTGTGAGTGGAAAGGAGCGGAGGAAACCACCTTGGGGAGGGAAAGCAGGAGAAGGGGCTTTCATCCAGACCTCTCGGTATCCTCCTTGAAATGTCAGCTACCTGAACATTACTTATCCAGATATGAAAATAATTCTAGGACATGATCCGTTTCCTGTTGTGTGCATCTTGTCTCCCTGACTAGCTCGTGGGCTCCCCAGGGACTGGCCCTGGTCTCAAGCATCCATGACCGTCAGGAGACCCTCAGGAAATATCTGGGGAGCAAAGGAGAGCACCATTTCCCAAGCCAGCGAGACAGAAAGGCAGGCAGGGCAGCCAGAGAGCAAGAGGAGGGAGCGGGGAAGAAGGGGCAAGGGGCAAGGCTGGTCTGCGCTAGGACAGAGGCTGCTGGGGTTCATCTACCTGGGGGGCCGGCGCCGGGGAAGCCTGGCTGTCGGGGGCCTGAGGGCCAAGGCCAGCTCCTTTGGCGACGGGGGTGGTCGGGGCTGGCTCTTGGGCGGGAGGCGGGGCGCTGACTATGACCGAGGCGGGCACGGAGAGGTGGGGTCCCTCTGTGGAGAGGGGCTGCTGGCTCCTCTCCTGAAAGGGGCAGCCCGCAAAGGGTCAGAAAGCCATCCCTGCAGACCCACGGCCTTCCTTGGTGCCACTGCCCCCACTGATGCTCCAGAGAAGAGGATGGTGGGAACGGCTTGGCGGGGGGGCACCAAGAGGCTGAGTGCCAAGGCTAGGGGAGCCCCAGGGTCCAGGCACTTGGAGGCCAAAACCCAGGGCAGCTCTGTCCACTCAGTCTCTGTGAGTTGACTCCCAGCTCCACCCGACTTCCATCTCTCCCGCCCAGTCTGTCTGTGTCTAGTCCACTCTCTCTCTGTGGTCCCTCTCCAACGCTCCAGCAAGAGGGCAGTCTGCCTCTCCTTGTCAGTCTGTCAGTCAGCCAGTCATTCACTCTCCTCGTCTGTCTGTCTGTCCCTCTCCCTTGTCTGTGTCTGCGTCTCTGTGTCCGCCAATTGACCCCTGTCACCCTCCGGCCTCGTCCTCAGGGACACCCAAACCTGGAGCAGGGGTGCCACCTTTGAGTGGCTCTCCATCATCACAGGACCCTCCCAAGTTGCTGCCTCAACCACATCCGGTTTCGGCTCTCGACCCCTGCCCAGGCAGACCCCGCCCTGCCCTCGCGGCCCCGCCCCCGCCCCTCCCCTGCCCGGCCAGCCCAGCCCTAGTTACCTGGGGCAGGAACATCTGCAGGGAGTCCTGAGTGAGGATGGCCGTGGTGGCGGCAGAAGGCGGCTGCCCCAGGACAATCTTCTCCGGGCTAGATGCCAGGCCTGGGCTGGGCTGGGGGGTGGTGGCCTGAG